GTCTAGCAGCAGTACCTCAAATAGACCGCCAGAGGGAGCCTGCGAACCGCCCAATCCGAGGCTGGGGCCCGCGTTTCCATGGTCACGGATAACTAGGGGCTGTCACCTTACCGCAGAAATAATGAAGGATTGTTAAGAGGGTCACGCAACAATAATAAAAACTTGTGCGGAACCTTACACTTTGACGAGCGCCCTTACCAAGCTCTTTTAAAAAATGTATATGACAAAAGCGTGCTCACTTATAACAGATTTTTGAGAGCGACTCTGTCAGTGTCAGGTGCCATACACGTACTGTAACAACACCTGCTATATCCAGGGATGGTGATACTCAATGAAACGTGGTCACATTAAATGTTTTGGCCCAGAAAACAGTCATCAGGGCCCCCAAGATGGCTCAGTGGGTAAAGACGCTTGCCACCAAGCCCGAATTCAATCCCCAGAGCCTGCCTGGTAGAAAGAAAACCAATTCCTGCAAAACGTTCTCTGATCTCCACATTTGTCCAGACTAAATGGACAAATAAGTAAATGAGAAGGTAGTAGTGCAGTTTCAGAAGTCTGAGTAATTCAGAAAAGTGTAACTTTTCCTTCCCTCTCTCAAGACATGGTTTCTCTGTGTAGCCATGACTGTCCTGGCACTCGCTCTGTAGACCAGCTTGACCTCGAACTCAGAGATCCGCCTGCCCCTCCTTCTCAAGTTTTGGGATTAAAGGCGTGCACCACCAACGCCCGATGCTGAACGACTTTTTAATTTTAATTTTTATTTTATGTGCATGTATCTTGCCATTACATGTGTATCTGGTACCCACAGAGGCCAGAAGAGGGCATCAGATCCCCTGGGACTAGAGTTAGAGATTATGAGCCACCATATGGGTACTGGGAAAACTGCCAGTGCTCTTAACCACCGAGACACTTCTCCAGAACCCTAACTTCTAAGAGCCCTTTTACCCCAAACTCTGGGCTTCTTGCTTGTTTATGGCTTCTCTGGACAGGCCCTGAGCTCAGAGAAGAATGAGGAGTGAGCCCCTACTTGCTGCACTGGCTTGGACTGATTGTCTATCCTGCTAATACATGAGCTCCTGGAGGTCAGGGAGTGGCCTCTTGCCTGCTATAACCCTGGCTCCCTGGATAATCTGGACAGTCCTTGGTCCTAACCAGGCATCCAGTGAAGTTTTTCATTGCCCACCTGAGGAAAGTACCTCTTTATACCTAGGCCTCACAGGACACAAGAAAGAGCCATTAGAAGCTGGGCAGTGGTGACGCACACCTTTAGTCCCAGAACTCAGGAGGCAGAGGCAGCCGGGTCTACAAAGCCATACAGAGAAACCCTGTCTTGAAAAAAAAAAAAAAAAACAAGAAAGAAAGAGCCATTAAAGTTTATTATATGAAAGAGAACATGGTTTCTATACATATATTTACACATCAGACTTATTTACAGCAAGATGGAGACCTTGAGGAAGGAAGAGGGATGGGGAGCCTCCCATGGCTCAAAAAACAGGGAACCTCGGTGGAAATGTGGGGCAGTGGAAGCCGGTGCGGGGAACAGAGGTTCCTGTCCTTCTGGAAGGGAGACTCGTGCATGTGTGATGGAGTTCAGAGTCCATTCAGGACCCTGGAAGTGCATGGGGATCCTGGAATTGAACCCAGAACATTCTGGGGCTGATCACAGTGTCCCTGTGGTGCTCTGGGGAAAGTCCTGAGCCCCTCTGCCCACAGCTGCAGAGAGGCAAGGTCTCCAAGGTCACAGCTCACTAGAGCGGATGGCAGGTTCCAGTTTGTGGGACAAGGCAGTGAGGACTTTGTCAAACTTCTCATAGCGCCGGGCCTGGCTGCTGTTGGCACCCTGGCTGCCCCAGAGAAGACGCATCTGGAACTCTGTACTGAACACTTCCAGGAGCTCTGGCCGGGCCTGGAACCCTGGGTGAGGGGGGGAGACATGGTTGGGGTTCTCTTCACATCCTTCAGAGCCCTGCTCAGAGGGATCTTTCCCTAGCCCTCCAGGGACCCAACAAAACACATTGAAGAACATGGCTTTGCAGTTGTCTAGACCTAGTCTTCAACTACTTGCAACTCATGATTGTGTGGGTGGTGCTGGGGGTGGAACCTAGGGCTTTGTGCATTCTAGACAAATACTCGACCCTTAAAAAGTAAGATATTCCTGTAAATTTGGGGGAAGATCTCAGAAGATCCTTCTTGTGTTTTTCTGTAAGTTACATTTTTAAAGAAACACTTTAAAAAAGATTTATTTATTATATATACAGTGTTCTGTCTGCATGTATCCCTGCAGGTCAGAAGATGGTACCAGCTCTCATTCAAGGTGGTTGTGAGCCACCATGTGGTTGCTGGGAATTGAACTCAGGACCTCTAGCAGAGAAGTCAGTGCCCTTAACCACTGAGCCATCTCTCTAGCCCATTAAGGATTTTTAAAGTGCATATAATTCTTTTATTTCTTTTTGGTTTTTCGAGATAGGGTTTCTCTGTGTAGCTTTGGAGCCAATCCTGGCACTCGCTCTGGAGACCAGGCTGGCCTCGAACTCACAGAGATCTGCCTCCGGCTAATTTTTTTATTTCTGAAAAAGAAAAAGATACACCAGAATATTCACAACTTATGTCTCTGGGCAAGTGGATAACTTTCTAAATCTTTATTATTGTTGTTGTGGTTGTGGTTAGAGATAATCTCCCTTCGTAGCCTTGGCTGGCTTTGGATCATGCTATATAGACTAGGCTGGCCTTGAACTCAAAGAACTGCCTGTCTTCCAGGCTGGCCTTGAATTCAGTAGGCAACTGGAGGTGATATTGAACTCTTGACACTCTTGCCTCTGAGTGCTGGGATTGCCGTGGCTCACTGCTCCCAGGTTCTGCAGTGTTTACAGTGCTGGGATTGAACCCAGGGCTTTTCATGCGAGTGGAGCACCCTACTAACTGGCCCCCCCAGCCCTCTGGGGTTTTTTGTGGTTTAAATAATGCCCAAAGCAGTAATAGAGCCTTGTTTGAAGCTACTTTCTCTGCTCCTTTTCCAGAATCCCATGGTCTGCCAGCCAAGGCTCCTCAAAGACCAGGCAGGTCTGCATCCTGGGCCTTGGCCAGGCTCCTTGCAAACAGCTGTGAACACAGCTGTTTAATCCCGGGATAAGAGCACTGAGGCCCATGGCAAAGGTGTCCAGTGTCACTCGACCCACCTCACCTGATGCCCTCACCAACAACAGCTTGTGGAATGAATGAGTGTCAAGAAAGATGGGATAGGGAGCCAGAAGTCAAGACTGAGGAGTGAAAAATGCCAGTGGATGGCTGAAGACAAGCAGCAAAGACAGGGGAGACAGAGGGAAGCCAGGGAGGGTGGGACCCTTGGGACTTGGCAGCGACTCACCCTGCAGCTTGGCCTCAGCGTTGGTGTGGTAGAGGCCCCCGTGGTGTGCCACAGTGCTGCTGGCCTCCAAGTGGGCTAGCACAACCTCCACACCGTGCTCTGTGCTGCCCCAAGGTTCAGGACCCTCAGTGGGGGCTGAATCACACTCCAACAGAGTGATGAATGGCAGCACGTGTGGGAACGTGGTGTTGCTCAGCGGCAGGCTTTCTGTAGGAGGGGCGATGGGCATTTAGACGTGAAGAACCTGCCACCCACCACAGCCCCAGAGATGCCCAAGGCCCCAGGGGGAGCACCAATGTCACCTGGAACAATCCCTGCTTTCCCTGGTGACCCCACCCTGGACATGGACAGGGTGTATATAGGGCTGCCATGTAGGGAAAAGTAAAGAAGTCAGGCTTTCACCCTCCACACGCCAGGAAAGACTTTGGCAACCCAGAGAGGGTTGAAGCCTATGCAAAATCACACAGCAAGATGGGGTGTAAGTTACCTTTGCCTTCATTGAGACCCTTGAGGAAAGGCTTGAGCTTCTTCTCATACAGGATGGCACCCTCTGTGTGCCGCTGTCGCAGGGTCACCCATGTCTGTTCCAGTCTCGAGATCTGGGGAGATCAGACTGTGAGAGACTGGCTAGGGAAGGAGCCTCCAGGAGCAGCTGGCTACAGCCACCTACTGAATGAACACCCAGATGTGGGATGGCTATTTTCCTGGCTGCCACTCATGAAACGGAAATGGTGTTAAACTGTTTTTCATATGTCATCCAGGAAGCCATTACAACACATTTTACAAATCTTAAACCTCAGCTTTGGACTGTGTGACCCCCGCCCCCCCCCCAGTCACTGCTCTGCCTCACATGCCCACTCTGTAAGACAGGACAATACAGAATCTTCCTCATAAGGCTAGTGAGGTGCTGTGGGGTACCTAGCATACAGAAAGTTCACCAAATGACAGACATTGTATATTTTCCTTGTTTTGAAGCAGGGTTTCAGGTAATGAATTTCTGATCCCCCTGCCTTCACCTCCCAAGTGCAGGGGTTACAAGCATGCTCTGCCATGCCTGGTTTACCAGGTGCTGGCATCAAAGTCTTGATGGGCAAGAACTCTACTAAGTTGTAAACTGGTCCCACTGTGTGTTCTATTTTTACAAAGATTTATTTAGTTTGCGTGCGTGTGTGTGCGTGTGTGTGTGTGTGTGTGTGTGTGTGTGTGTGTGT